TAGGGGGCATATATAAAAGGCATTTAGGAGGCAAAATCTATAGGCTGAAGCAGATGACTGGATGTGTGGTATATTGGAAAAGGAAAAATCTCTAGTATGATTCCCATGCTTTGGGTATTAGTTGTTAGTTGTGAAGTGACACTATTTTATAGCAAAATAAGCATTTTTTTTTTTTTTGGCAGGGATGAGAGTCTGTCCTCAGCTCCCCACAGCTCTCCACGTGACCATGTGTCCTTCCCTATCCCAGATCAATTATGGACAGCCCCAGAGCTGCTTCGGGACCCAGCCCTGGAGCGCCGGGGAACTATGGCGGGTGACGTCTTCAGTCTGGGTATCATCATGCAGGAGGTCGTGTGTCGCAGCCCCCCCTATGCCATGCTGGAGTTGACAGCAGAGGGTAAGGCGAATTGGGGCCAGAAAGGCATCTTACAATTAGAACAGGGCCATCCCAGACCCAGCCTTGCTTTTTTCTCTAAAGCAAAACCTGGTGATAAGAATTAATTATGTGGGTGCGCCCTTAAAGCTGGAGTCTAAAGGGTCAGGGCAGTAGAAAGCCAAGCATCAGGATGGTGTGTGGGTGGGTGGGTTGCTTTTCAGGGCCCAGACCTCAGAAGTATCTTCTGTCCTGATGCTGGACCTAACCTGTTCCCCCAGGTGACACAGCAGGCTCCTCTGTAGTTCTCAAAGGTCCCAGGGAGGCAGCAGGGAGCTGGGATAAAAACACAGTCCCATTTGATTCAAATCCATAGCATCATATATGGGACGCTGAGCAAACTACTTCATTACCTTCTCATTTTTCTTACATATAATAAATGTTAGTTTCTTTGTCACATGTTACTGATCCCAGGTTCAGGGTCCTCTTGTTACTCCTAGAGACCCCCTTACACACTAAACTCCCCCTCCCATTGAAGCTCTGGTTTAAAGGACCCCATCTGATGAAGCCTGACTGGCTTCATCAGTCAGGCCAGGGTTAGAGGTGTCTTCTGTCCTGGAATGCTCACCCCTCACTGTCTCCTCATGCTTCCAGAGGTGGTGCAGAGGGTGCAGAGCCCCCCTCCGCTGTGTCGGCCCTCGGTATCCATGGACCAGGCACCTGTGGAGTGCATCCATCTAATGACACAGTGCTGGGCAGAACAGCCAGAACTGAGGCCCTCCATGGACCGCACCTTCTACCTGGTTAGGGCTGGGATTGGGTGAGGGCTGGGCGGGTCCCTGGGAACCCCAGATTCTTGTTAGTAACCTAGGAAGGTCACAGGCAGGAAGGCAGGCAGGAAGGATCTTTAACCTTCAAGGTGACCTCCTAAGGGGTAGCCTGAGGACTGGAGCATGGGGGTGAGCTAGAACGGGGGCTGTAAGGCCTTTGAAGTGGGAAACAGAGCTCTGAGTGAGAGAAATATTTAATTCAATTCAAATAACATTAATTAAGAACCAAATATTTGTTTGGCTTACCGTGACAAAAAAACAAAACAAAACAAAACAAAACAAAAAAAAACAAAAATAACCTTAGTCTGGGAATCCAAAGGCTGAGATGCTCCAGTGCCTGTCAATTCCTGAGAATGACTTCCTTTGGGAACCCTCATTTCCCACATGCCTCCTAATAATGTCTGAATACACAGTGCCCAGCACTCCAGGACTGCTTCATGAATAGAAGATGAATGGTAGTAGTTAAGGGGATGGGGAATATAGTCCCATAAAAGGTCCATGAGAAGGGCATGGTGGTCTAGATCTTCAGCAGCTTTGCCTGCTTCCTATTGTTATAGTTCAAGAACATCAACAAGGGACGGAAAACGAACATCATTGATTCAATGCTTCGGATGCTGGAGCAGTACTCCAGTAACCTGGAGGACCTGATCCGGGAACGCACAGAGGAGCTGGAGCTGGAAAAGCAGAAGACAGACCGGCTGCTCACGCAGATGCTGCCTCCGTGGGTGCCAATATGGCGAGGAGTGGGGTGGAGAGGGCAGCTGGAGCCCAGCCAGACTGGGACTGCCTCCAGGTGACCCCACTGCCTGCTATGCCTAGATCTGTGGCTGAGGCCCTGAAGAAGGGGACACCTGTGGAGCCAGAGTACTTTGAGGAGGTGACACTGTACTTCAGTGACATTGTGGGATTCACCACCATCTCAGCCATGAGTGAGCCCATTGAGGTGGTGGACCTGCTCAACGACCTCTACACACTCTTTGATGCCATAATCGGTTCCCACGATGTCTATAAGGTGGAGTGTGCCAGGGATAAGACGTCCTGACCTTCAGTTCAACTCTGTCAATCCCAGCCCGTCTGCCCCAGGCCACTAGCCCAATACTCTTTCCCAACCCTATTGTACCTCCCCAATCTCTTCCTCCAGCTCAGTCTCCAATTTGCAGCCTGGCTTTGCAGGATTCTACACTAACCCCAGTTTTAGCCTTTTGATATTGACATTGGCTTTGTGTATGGGGGGGTGGGACACTCAGTACTGAACTGGTACAACACCTTCTCCCAGGTGGAGACAATTGGGGATGCCTATATGGTGGCCTCGGGGCTGCCCCAGAGGAATGGGCAGCGGCATGCAGCAGAGATTTCCAACATGTCGCTGGACATCCTCAGTGCGGTGGGCTCTTTTCGCATGCGCCATATGCCCGATGTGCCAGTACGCATACGCATCGGCCTGCACTCAGGTAACTCTTCTCTGGGGATTTGTTCCAAATTCCTTCTACAGGAGGCAGACTTCGATGCGGCTGGGGGTGGGGGCTTGTCTTGAAAAGGATACTCTTGGGAGTGTTTATTTGGAGAGCTGGTTGAAAGTATGGGGTGTTAAGGTCCCCCCAAGGGCCTGGGTGCAGCCTAGATGCCAGTTTCAGTCCAAGTCCTTGCTGTCTGCCATCTCTGCAGGCCCGTGTGTGGCGGGCGTGGTGGGTCTCACCATGCCGCGGTACTGCCTCTTTGGGGACACCGTCAACACTGCCTCGCGCATGGAGTCCACCGGGCTGCGTGAGTGTGACAGAGGCGGGAGGAGCTGGGGGAGGGAGGGAGGGAGGGGCCAGAGAGGGAAACAGCTTGAGAGGTCAGGTGAGGTGAATTCCGAGCTCACGAAGTCCCCACTGTCCCAGCTTACCGCATCCACGTGAACATGAGCACGGTGCGGATTCTCCGCTCTCTGGACCAGGGCTTCCAGATGGAGCTGCGAGGCCGTACTGAGCTGAAGGTGAGGCCTGGCCCCGCCCCCTTCTGGGGAGGGACCCAGGGTCTCTAAGCTCCACTTAGATCTGGAGATTCTCCGTCGCTCACTTCAGTCCGCCTAAGTTTCCCCTCTCTCGTGTCTTCTTTCCAGGGCAAGGGCGCTGAGGACACGTACTGGCTAGTGGGCAAAATCGGCTTTAACAAGCCCATCCCCAAACCTCCGGACCTGCAACCGGGGTGAGGGCTTGGCATGCTCGGGCAGGGAAGACGGGCGCGGGCAGGGTAGGGCCCCTTCACGCATTCTCCCTGCCTCTGGCTCTGTGTCAGACCCCAGCGAGAAGCTATGATGACCAGAATCCTGCCCTCCCCCATCTGAATTCCCCTTCCCTGATAATTGCCATCCCTCGACACAGGGCCAGCAACCATGGCATCAGCCTGCACGAGATACCTGCTGAGCGGCGCCAGAAGCTGGAGAAGGCGAGGCCTGGCCAGTTCTCCTAGAAGTGAGGCCTTGTCAGGACAGGTGCAAGCTCTTCCCTCAGTCTCCAGGACCACACACTTATGGGAGATACTTCTTAGGAGATAGGTGCCTCTTTGCTAGCCTAAGGGTCTAGCACCATCTGAAGAAAGTCCCACCCAAGCCAGGTGTCCTAATCCATTTCTGGTTTCTAATCCTAGGGATTTACCCTGGGAGGAAAGCATCTGCTACAGGGATACTGGTTCAGTAGGCCTGCACTGGTCCAGGAATCCAGGTTTAGGGAATCCTGTAATTGTGACCATGTGTCACTTCTCTGACCCTCCCCTTCACAAACAGCACATACCAGGCCTCCCCAGGACACTTGGCTGTGTATTGCACAAGAGACAGAACTCTAGGGGGCAACATTGGCCAGAGGACAGTGTGAAAGTTATCCCTGGAGTTCTGTTAAAGCAGAGACCTGATCACTGCCCTCCTTGGAAAACTTCTGACCATGACCGTCCCCTTCCTAGGTGAGTCCCCATGACCCTTTTTCTCCCTCTGAGACATTCATCTTTCCTTCAGGATTATTCTGGAAGATGTTTTTCCTGGAAGTTGCTGCTATAGGTGACCTAAAGTCTGACTAAGAACTGGCTTCTGTCCAGCTCTGCCTCCAAGGATTCTGAGCCTTTACAAGAGCCAGCTGCAAACCAGACTTGGAAAAGTCTCATGCACTCTCCAAGCTCGGATTCCACCCAATGGTGGAATGAAGGGGGGGCCTAAGTGATTTTCAGCACCCCCGTGGCCCTGATAGTTGGGCTTTAGAATGGCTGGCCTTGGGATATTGGACACTGTGGCATGTGGCCCCCAGCCCAAAGGATCCTGAGCCCATCAGGAGATTATGAGTGGGGCATTCCCCATTTTCCAGAGCCCCTCTGGGCTCCAGGAAGGAGGATCTGTAATTGGATGCCCTGGAGTGGAGGCATTGTGTACATGTCCAGGCTTGGGTTGTTGTGTGGTGTGGGGAGGTCATGGCTTCTGTTTAGCCTCAAGCCTCATTTCCATTTTCATTGCTCCCTGTTCAGAAACTGGTTCCTTCTCCAGTGAGCAAAACCAAGTCACTTACCCAAGTGCAGAGGAACGTTTACTTCAATGCTTTGGGGAAAGAAAATTAAACTGCACCAAACTTTTACTAACCAGAAAACCTGAGGAATAGTCATATTCTCTGTTTTTTGTTTTTTGGGTTTTTTTTTTTTTTT